CCGAAACATTCGTGTCTCGAATGTCGCGTGTCATGCTATCTTCTTTAACTGGTAGCTATGCTTAATACGAAGCACAGATGTCCAGGTGACTTGTAGTAAGTTTTCGTTGCATAACGTATACCGTAAGAAAACCGAACTGTATGAACCAGCCTCTATAGAGGCTCCTACGGCGTGCAGGGCCCGTTTGGTCGAAGCGCTAACCGCGGCTTAAGTTATACCCGTGCCACACGGGCAACTCGAATGCCATTTACAACGAATCACATTTGAGCGGACGGCCAATCAGCGCGCGACACTCCGGGCGTAGCGCATTTCACGCGCGACAGATTGCGAGCTGATTCGCCGATCACACAAATGTCATTGGTTGTAAATGGCATTCGAGTTGCCCGTGTGGCACGGGTATTAGCCGCAGTACCTAGGAGAGGGATTTTGAAATCACGTGACTGGCTCGGTTGGGATGCGGTGAAACATGGCGGTGCCCCGGTGAGTGAGCGCCGCTCGCTTTGGAACCAATATGTCGTTGTAGCTGCAATATCGGGCGTGTTAGTCAGCAACGGATGGTGCAGGAAGCTTTCACTTTGCCTTACCTCACTTAAATCGCAAAGCATGAGCAATGGCCTCGCCACATTTTTTAAGTAGTCTTTCCACTCTGGCCATTCCTAACCCTAAAAGAACGCGATAATTGTCGGCATGGCAATGTCTTTGGAAAGCAGGTTGCCTTGACTCAATCGGTCGGGTATTAATAGCACACAAAAGCAGACATCGTCTCAATATAGCTTTTTCTAGATTACCCAAGCATCGAGGAGAACGCTGGAAGTGTATTTTTACGGTCTGCGCGCGCTGGCCTTCCTCTTATAAAAGATTCGAAGTAAATAATCATGTTAAGGCTTGCCGAACGCGCGTGCGAGGCAAAATTTATTTTAGACTTTTTGATTTAGAAGAATTACTACTGCAAACGCCAGCAGGCGCAACGCGTGCAACGTATACATTCGTAGCATGCACCCCGGTGCTTGGGAAATTTAGAAAAATGCCTATTGGGAGGCTGTCTGCTTTTGTGTGCTATCAATACCCGGCCGATTGAGTCAAGGCAATCCACTTTCCAAAGACGTTGCATGCCGACAATTATCGCGTTCATTCAGACTTAGAGATGACCAGAACCAAAAGACGATGTAAAAAATGCGGCAAGGTCATTGCCCATGCATTGCGATTTAAGTGAGGTATGGCAAAGCGAAAGCCTCCCAGCTGCATCATTCGTTGCTGACTAACATGCCCGATATTGTAGCCGCAACGACATATTAGTTCCAAAGCGAGCGGTGCTCACTCACCGGGGCACCGCCATGTTTCCCGCATCCCTACCGAGCCAGTCACGTGATTTCAAAATCCCTCTCCTAGGTACTACGGCTAACTTTAGCCGCGGTTAGCGCTTCGAGCAAACGGGCCCAGGAATGATCTAGAATCAAAATAAACTGCACGCACCTACATTAGAACAAAAAAAATCTAAAGACGATCACAACTTCTGCGAAGGTTCCGTTAGGGCTATCTGTTTTTTTTTTGTTTTTTTCTTTTTTGTTTGTTTTCAGTGTTGCCTGCTCAAACTGCGTTGCTAGTGGACCACGCTGATTGATTGCCGACGTGGCCGGTTTCCCTTCGTCGCGAGGGCGTCCCAGTGTTGTTGGCTTTGTTTTTGGTGGTGAAACTGAGCACGCACAGGCCTGTTCGATAAGGCGAACTGCGAAAATGTCTATTTTCTGCGCAACCTTGAAGTCGATTCCGGTGTCGCGACGGTCGCCTCGCGCGGTGCGCGCGTCGCTGTTTCTAAACACGGAACCGAAGACAATTAGACCTGAAAACAGGCACGCCACACCGAAGAACGGGTCCGTGGTGCGTCACTACACTTAATTCGTTTCTTCATAGTGAAACTGACGGGGACCGAGTATAGACAGCCACGGAGAAAATAAAAAAAAAGTAATTAGCCGTTAATTGTTTATAGAGCGGGAGATTATATCCGTGCCACACGGGCAACTCGAATGCCATTTACAACGAATGACATTTGAGTGGACGGCCAATCAGCGCGCGACACTCCGGGCGTAGCGCATTCCACGCGCGATAGATTGCGAGCTGATTCGCCGATCACACAAACGGCGTTCGAGTTGCCCGTGTGGCACGGGTATAAGTCTGCCAGAAACCTGGCGACGTTGTTACCCACTGTATGGATGAGAAATTCAGATAGTGTCGGTAGCCTGGGGTCTTTAACGTGCACCACACAGTATAGTGATACACGACCGCACGCCGGTATGATGCTCATCCAGTTCGAAACGGGCTGGGGTGGGGTTTGAAGCCAGGACCCCTGGGTTCTGCAACGCGAGCTTTCGTTCCACGCGCGGGAGGGGTGAAGATTGACCTCACGATACTTGGGGAGCTTCGGCTTCCCCGCCCTCCGAGCGCTTAACTGAGGGCTTGCTTGTGCGCGTCCTTGCTCACTGCCTCATCTACCTACGTGTAGGTACGCACGTTAGAGCGCATTTTGTGGCGCATTGGACGTTAAAGCGACTTTAGTGGGAATGAGTGCAATCTCAAGGATATGTATGCAGGGACCTGGGATTAAACTCTTGGTCACTTCATCCGCCTACACCAAACGAGCGGAATGTGGTTCGAATAGATGGCTTGCATCGACGTTATTTGGGCGGCCTTACTTTTGAGCGCGTACCTGCTGCGGCCAACATTTCTTACCTACGAAATGTTTGTCTTTCTCGGCAAGAACAAGTATGGAAAGACCACCATCATAATAGATGACGTCACGTGCAAGTCATGTATATGCTGGTGTAGCTGTGTGCACCAGAATATTCCGAATGTGGCCGTAAGGACTAACACAGTTATTACGCCTCGCAAGATTTTGAATTCAAAACGTACATATCTGAAATTGGGCACGCGAACGTAGTTTCGCGAAGAGATTTATGTTTTTCTTGTTTTTTTTTTTTTGTTCAGAGCTCAAGTCAAACGTGGTAAAATATTAAAAAAAAATGAAGCAAAACCTGCGACCCTACATTTTCTATGTTAAATACCTTATGTTCGTCGTCTGCACACAGGATTGTGAGATTTCTCCCAAATAATTATTGTTCACACATTTCGTTAAAACTATAAATTACCTCCATTTTCTTCTGCATCGCCAGCTTCTGCTATTGGTTTGTAGCGTGTTTGCGTTCAGCAAGCTATCCGGGAGCGAGCTCATAAACCAGTAAGCAGACGACAAACAGGCCGGTATAGGATATAGTAAATACACGCCCTTTGATTTTGCTTTTATTTCTAATATTTTACTACCTCAGGATTGAGCTCTAAAAATTATCCATAAAACTTCTGGTGAAACTACGTTCGAGTGCCCGATTTCAGTATGTAGGTCTGGAATTCAAACTTTGCGAGGCGTGCTAAATGTGTTTGCCCTTGCGGCCGCACCCTGTACATGGCGTACTCATTGATGGCGGCATGCGTGCGTCTTCGGATTACCTGTAAGAATCTACGTAGTTACGTATAGTTTCTCTTATATCCCTGCATAAAAATATCTGTCCTCATCGTATGCCTTTGAGCATTGCCGCTTGTGAGTGCCCATCTATGTTCATATATAGTCCTTCGTGAGTGAGCGTGTCTATATACGCGGGTAGACGTGCTCCTCTTCGCTGTGGGCGTGTGTGTCCAAAAAGATGGAAAGGGAGAGAGAGCGAGAAAGACAAGCAAAGGGCGAGGACATTTTATGGATGTCGCGTGAAAAGTTTCAGGTCGTCACGGTGATAATACGCAGGGGTTTTTCGTCCAGGGTGTGGCCTTCCCAGACCAGAGGTGTCGCTCCACCCTGCGGCCCGATGCTGCTAGTATTTTTTTTTTGTGCGCGCGTGTGTGTGTGTGTTTGTACTTATTTGGGGTTCGCCCTGAGCTATCTCTTTGTCTTTGCCTCTTGCTTGGGGACGCGCGAACCGTCTGCAGTTTTGTATTTGGCTTGTCGTACCAGCGATGACATAGCCCGTGCTTTGAAATGAGGAAGCGCGCATCGGCTCGAGCTACAAGCGGTACACGCGGTGCCCGGTCGCTAGAGCCCTGTTTCTGTCCCCGGCTTTCGCCGCAACCGCCATCAGTCAAGCCGTCGCTGGGGTGGTCGGAAGGTAACGATTCGGCTTAATAATAACTGTTCGTACCCTCATTAGATGGCAGGGTAGTCCAGATGCGTGCAGGTGGCGCAAGTCACCGTCCGATTCAAAGAGAACATCCGTCATGTATGCATTCCTCCATCCATGCACCGTTATCTAGGTTTTTGCGTAGCTTAAAAATAATCGCCTTCGCAGTGTGATGCATTTGCTTAAAGCCAATTCATTTTATTTATTTACCTTGAGGACCCGTTTCCGGATGTTACACAAGACAGGTCACTATGCCGGGATATGAAATATCAATTAGCTTCATTGGCGCATGGTCTAACGTGTTCAGGTTAAGGATAGTATCAAGATCGTCTCGTGTGAATACTGAAATAAAAATTGCGTTACGCTTTTGTGCGCTTTCTTCAGCTTTAAATTTTACACCGTCGTCATCATTGAACACCGAAGCGGTCATATGCGTTGGGTTTATAATTTGCCAAAACTTTGTGGGGTTGCTTGTGCGAACATTTTTCAAGTCATGTTCAGAAAAACTTTAATTTTGCTTGTGTGATTGCACTTTTATGTAAATTTGCATAACCTGAATATTTATCCCAAAGACGATCATTTTGCTTTCTTAAAAAGTCGTCTTTTTTGTGGTTCATACGACTAATTGCTTTCTTGAACCTTTAATTCACGTTATCTGATCGAAACCTTACTCGTGGCACGTAGAAATTGCAAAGTGAACACATCCTATTTTTAAAGCGGCCCCAGCTCTCAATAATTGAATACTGGTTAACAGTGGACATAAACGAAGAGTAAAACGATTCAAAGCACTCGTTTATTGCCTGATAGTTTGCTTCGTTATAATCCATGATGCATGTATCATATGCAGATTTTCGGGGTGTAGGAAGTTCCAGCGGAAAGTGCATTACTAAATGATTGCTTAGCCCCGGAAGTTACGAGATGTTGTTGATGTTGCTAGGATGAGGCGATAAGCATAATGCAGCGGGCTTTCAAATTAACCCATGAGATACCGTGTCAGAACATCGAAACTGAAGGATTGTAATTACTCATGACGCGAGGCAACACTGTTACACTGGCGCCATCCATAACGTAGCCGTGGTACACTACGGATCTGCGTATAAGTAGATTGAAGGTTTCTCACTATTTGCGAGCTCAGATCTACGCACCACCTGTGGAAAATGGTCTATTATAACACTGTGAGAATTATTCGAAGTCCACGACGAAGGAATAATGCGTAAAACGACACCAGTGTGTTCTTATCATGGTAATTAATAAAAACAAATATGATTTAAATTGTAATTTAAGTCAGACCAGTTTTAATATAATGACTTAGATAAATCTTTTGCCAAAACAATATCCCAAATTTTTTTATTTGGTTTTTATTTACAGATATTTGTTTTCAGATATTTATACAAGGTTGAACGCGAGCAAAATAAAAAAGATCGATCGGAGCATTGAGATTGATTTCTACCGTCCACTTTATAAGCTACGTAACATGCTACTGCAAAGAAACGAAACCCAGAAAACTAAAGCACTATTGCAACAAGTCAGAATGCATGAGATAAATCAAATAAGTCGTTTTTAGCTGACTATATATATATTGTTACGATGCGATGTTATCGCTTATCGCTGTCGCGGCCGCAGCAGAACTGCTGAGTCAGGGGGGCGTACCTCTGGTGCTTGCTGCCGATATAAGCGGCATCGCCGGCAAGCTTTGGGCTCTTTTGGTTCCGGCTGCCGAACAATAAACGCTGCCAAATAAACGTCGGTCTCCGGATTCGTCGATTCTCCCGGAGAAACGTAACAGCTGGTGGCAGCGGTGGGATGGATCGACGACGCCGGGTTCCATGGGTGCTGTCGGTGAGTGCCTGAGGCTTCCTTTCCGTTCACCGAGCAGCTTAAGTGTTTAAGGCAGTTGGTTCTGTGGTGTCGCCAAACGGTTGATACGGGCGCTGGGCAAAAGTAGCCAAACTTTTTTGGAAATTTCTGAACATGGATCCGATAAATCTCGCGGCGATTGTGAAGCCCGATTTAATGCTCTTAGCGGAAGAGCTGGGTGTTAAAGTGGTCAAGGCCATGAGAAAGCCCGAGATTATCAAGGCCATTGAAGATTGTGGCGCGGGCGCCGACGAAATTTCCGAGTGTTGGAGCGAGGTGCAGAAGAGACTAAGGGAAGCGGAACTTCACGCGGCTCAAGAAGGGCTTCGCGTTGCTCGAGAAAAACTTGAGCTAGAAATGCTTCAACGTAACTTTGACGCTGGTGAGGCCATTGTGGTGGATAACAGCTCGAAAAAGTTTGACATGCGAGCCCTTTTGCAACCTTTTCGCGTCGGCGGAGTTATGGGTCTCTATTTAGTAAATTTCGAACGGGTTTGCGTTAAGATGGGTCTTGTAGAGTCGAGCTGGCCTCAAAGGCTCTTGAGTTTACTGCCAGCGGAGGTGGCCGACGTTTTGGCCCGACTAGATCCTACAGCAGCCGATGACTACGCGTCCGTAAAGTCATGCCTGCTTAGGAAGTTCAGGTTGTCGCCTGAAGCTTTTCGACAGAAATTTCGAGAGACAAGGAAAGGACCGGACGAAAGTTGCGCGGAGTTCGCTTATAAGCTTAAAGGCTTTCTGGAAAGTTGGCTCCGTGGTGTCAACTCTTACGAGGATCGTGAAAAGGTGCTGGAGCAGATAGCACTAGAGCAGTTTCTCTCCTGTATTCCGATAGGTCTAAAGGAGTGGATTCAGGATAGACCGGAAGTAGAAACGGTGCAAAAAGCTGCAGATTACGCGGATGAGTACTGCTCTAGGCACGGGAAGAAAGTTGTTGAAGAAAACCGTAGCTCAAACCGTTTCTACGAACGATGCGGACCTCGCACGTTCGTGAAGAAAGGCGCCGAAAAGGGCAAAGAGAGTGAAGTACCGACAAAGGGAGTGTCTGATTTAGACGAAAAGAAACGTAAAATGAAGTCGTTCGAGGAGCGTAAACCAATAGTGTGCTACAGGTGTAAACAGCCTGGTCATGTCGCTTCTGGTTGCCGCGTCCCTAAAGTTGCTCCCGTTAACTTGTGTCTGGGAGAAGCGGAGGACTTACTCAGGCCGTATCTGTACGACATGAAAGTAAATGGTAAATTCTGCAAAGGTTTACGAGATACCGGCGCCACGTATGATCTGGTACACTCTTCGCTAGTGGAGCAAGAACATTTTACAGGCGACTGTGTGTGGATCCGTCAGGCCTTGGAAAATCGGGCAGTTAGACTGCCCGTCGCTAAGGTAAAACTAAACGGACCTTTCGGAGTAGTGGAAACGGAAGCAGCTGTTTCTGACGGAGTGCTTCCAAACTGTCCGTACATACTGTCAAACAGAACTGCAAGGCAATTGAGCGAGTCGGGTATACCGCTTGACATGAATCCTGTTCTAGTCGTCACGCGCTCAATGACAACTAGTGCAGTGCCGGAAACACTTCAGACGGAAGCGCGCGCGTCGACTGGTAAAACCAGCAGCGGGCCCGATAAAGAGCCGAACGAAGGAGCTGACATGACCACGCTGGTTTCGCCGGAGAGCAGCAATTTTCGTGCGCTAGCCGGTGTAGATAAGCTTACGCTTATCGCCGAACAGTCATCCGACCCGAGTCTTTCAAAGTGTCGTGATAGCGTGGGAAAAGATATCAAGCCGAACATCTCCTTCTTTATGAGCAACGGCATTCTTTACCGTAGTTTCAAGGACAAATCGGGGAACGAGGTAGATCAGATTGTCGTTCCATCCAAGTATAGAATTGCATTACTCGAGCTTGCTCACGGAGAAGGGTGGTCGGGACACCTAGGAATCACAAAGACCAAGTGCAGGCTTTTGGCAGAATATTATTGGCCGGGCTGCTTTAAGGAGGCTGAGCAATTCGTCCGTTCTTGCGACACCTGCCAAAGAACAGGACGACCAAACGAGCGCCGAAAGGCGCCTCTGACACTAGTGCCCATAATCACGGAACCTTTCAAAAGGCTAGTGATAGACGTCGTAGGACCCCTACCTACAACTAAGACGGGTTTTAGGTACCTTCTAACGATATTATGCCCAGCCAGCAAGTTCCCAGAAGCCGTTCCAATGAAAGAGCAGACATCGGTCGAAGTAGTAGATAACTTGCTCTCGGTCTTTTCTCGGATCGGGTTTCCTAGTGAAATTCAATGTGATCTGGGTAGTGTTTTTACCAGTGCTCTAACAACCAGCTTTTTCGAGAGGTGTGGCATTAAGATTGTTCACAGTTCTGTAAGCCACCCGCAAAGTAACAGCGTAGAGAGAGCGCACTCGGTAATGAAGCGCATTCTCAGGGCCCTTTGTCACGAACAGAAAAAAGAGTGGGACTTGGCATTGCCCGCTATGCTTTTCGCGTTGCGAACCGTTGCTCACGAGTCAACTGGTTTCACGCCAGCGGAACTGGTCTATGGACGCAATTTGCGTTCACCTTTGCGGTTGCTGCGCGAGGGCTGGGAGGGTGAAGCCGAGAACCCAACAGTGGTGGAGTATGTGCTTTCCTTACTAAACCGTCTCCACAAAACGCGTGAGCTAGTTGAGGCTAACCTGGGAAAAGCGCAGTCGCGAGGTAAAACCTACTATGACAAAAACAGCCGCCTCCGAACGTTTAAGGTGGGTGACAAAGTCCTACTTTTGAGGTCTTCTAAGGCTCATAAGTTGGAATTGCAATGGGAAGGACCAGCAACGGTCCAGCAGAGGCTATCAGAGACAAATTACGTGGTAAAACTGCCAGGTCGCAGAAAAGAGGTCCGCATATACCATTGCAACCTTATGAAGCCGTACGTGGAAAGGGTGCAAGTAGTCAGCATTGCACTAAACCAACCAGAGGAAGTTCCTACACGAATTCCTGAGCTGGGAAAAACCGACGGGATCCTGACAATCGCCGAAGTCGTAGAGGCCGCAGTCGATAAGACGCTCACCCAAAACCAGTTTTCGGATCTTACGGCATTAATTGGCAAATACCAAAAATTGTTTTCAACTATTCCCGGAAGAACGAGTCTAGTCGAACATGACATCGAAGTGAGGACTCGGTCAAATATTCAGTGTAAGGCCTATCGCTTTTCCCCCCGCCAAGAAAAGCTATTAAAGGAGTCCGTAGATCAAATGCTAGAGCTAGGGTTGATTGAGCGGTGCGAGAGCGACTTCGTGTCTCCTATGATTCTGGTAGAGACTCCAGGAAAAGAACCTCGTCCCTGTGTGGACTACCGAAAGTTAAACGCGGTAACGGTAACAAAAGTCTACCCAATCCCTAATATCGAAACTTGCCTTGAGAAAGTAAGCAAAGCCAAGTTCATCTCAACCATCGACCTCGTTAGAGGTTACTGGCAAGTGCCACTTACCGCGAACGCCAGTAACCTTGCCGCCTTCATGACCCCGTTTGGTGTTTTTAAGCCGCTTGTCCTGAGCTTTGGACTGAAAAACGCACCCTATGCGTTTTCGAGACTGATGAATCTGGTACTGGTCGGAACCGAGTCTTTTGCGTTACCGTACCTAGACGACGTCGCTATATTTTCGGACACGTGGAGAGAGCACGTTCAGCACCTAGAACAGGTGTTCTCGCGCCTGCAAGACGCAGGACTTACAGTCAAGGCGAAAAAGTGTAAGTTTGGCCGAGGCGAAGTATCGTATCTCGGACACGTAGTCGGTCAAGGAATGAGACGTCCACAAGAACTCAAGGTTCAGGCCATTAAAGAGTTTCCCTTGCCACAAACAAAAAAAGATTTGATGTCCTTTATCGGACTGGTGAATTACTACCACCAGTACATTCCCCAGTTCTCTGAAAAGGCGAGTCCCCTGACGGATGCGCTCAAGAAAACTGAGCCCACTAAGATCAAATGGGACGATCGCAAGATAGAGGCGTTTGAGGCTCTTAAGTTAGCCTTGGCGACTCAGCCCGTATTAGTCAGCCCTGACTACACAAGACCCTTCTTAGTGCAGTGCGACGCCAGCGAAAAAGGACTCGGCGTCGTTCTAAGCCAAGAAAATGAAGGGGAAGAGCACCCCGTTTTGTTTGCCAGCAGGAAGCTAACTTCAAGGGAGCAAGCCTACAGTACCATCGAAAAAGAATGCGCTTGTCTCGTATGGGCTGTAGAAAAGCTTCGCTGCTATCTCTATGGTTCGGAGTTTATTTTAATTACAGATCATAGACCGCTCACATGGCTTCAGCAGCTGTCCCCCAAAAACGGTCGCTTGTTACGCTGGAGCTTGACCCTCCAGGAATATTCTTTCTTGGTTCGACATAAAAAAGGAAAGCTTCATGCGAACGCCGATTGTCTGAGCCGAGCGCTCTAACCGGCGCACAGTGCAATTTTCTGTTTCTTTTGTCTCATCTGCACATTTGTAAATAGTTCCATTCAATTTCATTCATTAGCTGTCTATTCCCGAAAGATCGGGAACGATATTTTCAAAAAATTCTGGCTGCGTTTGGGGCATATTTTGTAACCTATTTCTTTTGAATAATTCGTGCTCTCGGTGAGTGGAAAGGGCGTTTCGGGTGCCTCCGCAGTTTCTGTGGTGCTTGGTTGTTGTTGGCCCTTCTCATTCCCCTCAGAAGCACGACGGACCTCTGTTGTCATCCCGACGTCCTGGCACCGACGGCACGTGACAGCCGCTGCTACTCCTGGGCCGCTGGCGACTTTGGCTCATGGTCGCAAGGATCGCCATCACCGCTCCTTCCTGCTCCTCTCGGACCGCACAGTCGACGCTTCCGACCAGTCAAGGACACTGAAAACTGCAGTGACGGTGTTGGGCCGCGCGTCGACGCTTCCGGCCAGTTTCGCAGACGGTGTTGGGCCCTGCGTCTCCAGGACTTCCCGCCCTTCGGATCAGCGCAAGCTGAACCTGTATACGCTGTGAAGGTTTCTTCGAGCAACGACTGTGAAGTTCTGCGCAAGCAGCACTAGGATTACGCCGTTCGTTTGTCTGTCGAACATTCCCAAGGACGTGCTTGAAACCTGGAGAGTGGCGGGAAAATTGTTTTATGCGGTTTCGCCCTAAAAGGGGGAGGAGTTGTTACGATGCGATGTTATCGCTTATCGCTGTCGCGGCCGCAGCAGAACTGCTGAGTCAGGGGGGCGTACCTCTGGTGCTTGCTGCCGATATAAGCGGCATCGCCGGCAAGCTTTGGGCTCTTTTGGTTCCGGCTGCCGAACAATAAACGCTGCCAAATAAACGTCGGTCTCCGGATTCGTCGATTCTCCCGGAGAAACGTAACAATATATATAAAGATGTTTTTGTTCTAGCATGGCGGGGACTTCACAAGTCAAACGTTGTCAATTAAACAGCTAGTACTTTACATTTACAATAATTCTTACTCCCGCATTGTTTTCAGTAATTGAATGAATTTATTATTTTTATCTTCCTCTTTGTCAGCTACGCAACATGGTACTGCAAGAACATCAGGACACAAAGAAACGAAAACCTAAAAAAAGTAATGTCATATCGCAACAAGTCAGAATGCGAAAGAAAAATCGAATAAAGCGTTTTTAGCTAACTAAAAAAAATATAAAGCCGTTTTTGTTCCAGCATGGCAGGAATATCATAAGTCAAACGCTGTCAATTAAACAGTACTTTACATTTACATCAATTCTTACTTCCGCATTTTTATTATCAATTGGACGAGTTGATTGACCAATCTTCCAGTTTGGGAAATCTATCTAGTCGTAAATAATCATCATATTCTAGCTAGAGGGATTTAAACCAAATTATACGATTTAAATGAAATAAATCTGATTTAAATAAAATAAATTTATTAAACATTTTAACCATACTTTTTTTCATTTTCAGTGTTTTCTTAAGTTATCAGTGGCTGTTGTGGTTGCCGCGTACTCGGTCTTACTCAAACGCTAATCGGTGAATCACCTTTACGCCGCTGGTGACTGAACGGCGTCCGCGAAGAGGTTGCCAACACGGTTCCTTAAAGATGCAATACAAATTCACACGCAGTTGATGATGAAAACGGGCGAATCCGCTTTGCGTTTGCGATTCAAGCGCCAAAGTGACTGCAGCCTGAAGCACGGATCTCGCGGTGACTTGCGTTCGAACCTGTATGCAGACTGTCTTTTGTATGATGAATCAGCAGTGTAACCCCGGCTTTAAAGATCAAAACTCTCGGGTAGGATATTTCTTGCGGAGTTCTTGAACCTCGGGTATAGGTTTTGCGAAGTGGCGTTTTGAGTGGAAAAACTTTTGAAATTGAGCACCAGCTGAAACGTGCGATCCCGTTCCAACGATAAGAGATGTGCGTTTGAACTTTATATCGTATTTTGAAACGTGATTTTCGTTCGAATGCGCTAAATGCGTGGCATACTGAACGTGCAGCGACAAATTTGGCGGCCGGGCGATTGTCAAAAATTTTTTTTAACGTTTTTCTTTCCCTTGTTAAGTCGCTTAATTTTAGTATCATTTATAAATAAGCCCGTTTCTTGGAGCGAACGTGGATTATCCAAAAGCTTGAACGCGAAAAATAGTTCGAAACCGACCGGATATGACGCATTTGGAGGACCTATATGACGGATTGGACTGCTGATATAACGGATTTGGTGGCTTTTATACGACGGATTTGGCGGTCGCACGCGACGACTTTGCCAGCCGGATATGGCGTTTTTGGAGACTCGAATGACGTGTTTGGCGGCCGACCATGACGTTATTAACGGTCCAAAAAAATACGAATTTCTAATCGGATGGTGTCTGTTTAAACAGCCCTCGATATTCCCAATGTTAGGGACGCCATGAAACGATCCTCCCAAACACACAAGAAAAGAAAAAAAAAAAGATTATTAGCACTTTCTTTTTATGTGGTGTGCTCACCGAAAGCTTGACAAAGGAAGTGTGTCTCTCTTGAATGGGCGGTCTCGAACATGTGTTCATCGCCTTCAGTCGTGCTTTAACTGTAGGTGCACGCTCGGGGCTCACAAGGCATCGAAGCGCTATCGAAGCTATGCGGGTGTATATGAAAAGAGAGGAGGAGTCGAGAGCTCGCGGGGTCGTGAGAACACCGAGCTCTTTTTGAAATTAAGGTGGAGTGTCCATGGAGACTTTTAGCCCGGTTAATCCCCACCCTTGAATCGATTAATTAATCGATAAATCGGTTTCGGTCGTTTCCACGCAATATATCATTAAAAATTAAAAATTAATTCTGGTTTTCTTTTTTGCTTTTGCCGATTATGTGATAATCTAGGCAATATACAATTTTGATTATGAATCAACCTCGGTGTGTAGTTGAGCGTAGTTCAAAGACGCACTCACAGAGGCTGCAGTCACTTATGCCCGCGTCCCACTAGAGCGACAGACAGAAACAAACGACAGCGACAAGCCTCAAACCAGAGTCTTTCGCGATTTGAGAGGCTTTGTAGGATAAAGGAGGCTATGCTCAAACACGAGCATCATGCACGCGAGGGTATTTTCGGCAGACTTGAAATCGCTCGTGCTTACTTCATGAGCGCCGAACGACTAAACGCCTGCCAAATGTACCATGGCGAGCATGTTGCATGGGTTTGAGGCTTGTCGCTGTCTTTTGTTTCGGTCTGTCGCTCTAGTGGGACACGGCCATTACATTTCAGCTGCATGAGGCAAAGGGGCGCATTGATATTCTCCAGCAGAGCAACCTCCTTTTGCTTGTTTACAACAGTCCCTACTGCGCTAAACGGACACACGCATGGTGTTTGACTGGCCGGGTCACGTGTAACTCTCGGTACTCGAGCTACAATTCTTGCCCTTATACAGTTTACACTAAAATAAAGTTCACCTAAAGTTTTCCCTTCATACAGCTGTTCTCGTCCACGTCTGCGGGGGGAAAACGTTTAATTTTTATTTCATTTTGGTTCGTCAATATATTACACATTAACCGGCGCTAAACGGACACACACATGGTGTTTGACTGGCCGGGTCGCGTGTAACTCTCGGTACTGGAGCTACAATTCTTGCCCCTATAGAGTTTACTCTAAAATAAAGTTCACCCAAAGTTTTCCCTTCATACAGCTGTTCTCGTCCACGTCTGCGGGGGGAGAACGTTTAATTTTTATCTCCTTTTGGTTCGTCAATATATTACACATTAACCGGCTAGAAAAGTTTAATCGCGATTCATCGGTTAACTCGTATAGGTTAACCGATCATTTGACCAGCCCTAGTTGGAATGATAAGAAGGTAGACGCAACGCTAGCCGTTTTTGTCTCTACCCGATCGCCGAGCTTGTTCAAACGCCGGCGTCCGGCGTTCGAACGCGTTTCGAAGAATTAATAGACGCAAAGGCAGGTAGTTTTGCATCTGCCCTCTAATCATTCCAACCAGAGCTCGCGGTTCTGACGTCTTCGCGCGCTCTCGACTCCTCCTCTCCCTTAGCTTCTACCCGTAGAAACTACTCACGACGGGTTAAGAAACACAGGGCGTGGCGAGTCCCGAGCATCACATTATCGCTCGGCAGCCAATCAGGTTGCTGGATTAGCCGTTAATAACGTCAAAGGACCAATCACGAAGCTCGAGAAACATTCTATGTTTCTTAAGCTGTCAGTGACCCCAGAAAGCTCGCGCTAGAAAAGGTACAACTGAGACTTTCCTTTCGTTCTAATCTTGTTCAGAAAGCTCGCGCTAGAGACGGGACAACTGAAATACTTCCCTGTCGTTCTCATCTTGTTCAGAAAGCTCGCGCTAAAGACTTCCCTGTCGTTCTAATCTTGTTCAGAAAGCTCGCGCTAGAGACGGGACAACTGAAAGACTTCCCTGTCGTTCTAATCTTGTTCAGAAAGCTCGCGCTAGAGAGGGGACAACTGAAATACTTCCCTGTCGTTTTAATCTTGTTCAGAAAGCTCGCGCTAGAGACGGGACAACTGAAATACTTCCCTGCCGTTCTCATCTTGTTCAGAAAGCTCGCGCTAAAGACGGGACAACTGAAATACTTCCCTGTCGTTCTAATCTTGTTCAGAAAGCTCGCGCTAGAAACGGGACAACTGAAAGACTTTCCTGTCGTTCTAATCTTGTTCACAAAGCTCGCACTAGAGATGGGGCGGCTGAAAGACTTCTCTGTCGTTCTGATCTTCTTCAGAAAGCTCGCGCTAGAGACGGGACAACTGAAATACTTCCCTGTCGTTCTCATCTTGTTCAGAAAGCACGTGCTAGAAACGGGACAACTGAGACACATTTCTGTGACCGTTATTCTCATCTGGTCACTAATCATAAATTATGTTGTTTAAGCCAGTCATTAGAGAGTTTTAGAAACGGGGTTGGCGCCTTCTCTCTTCCCTTTATTCTTGTAACCCATAATTTCCTTACATCTTATCTCATTCTTTCGTTCTTTTATCAAGTTACTTAGTTTTGCGTGTCCCCGTCAGGCGTTAACTCTGTGTTTTGCCATGTCACCCAGTACATTACTTGTAAACAGAATTGTCGTAAACAAATGAAAACAAGCAAAAACTTTTCGGTTCCCCCGAGCTGCTTCTGCCGTCTCACTGGGCATGCGTAGGATTTCTTCGCTTGCGCTGTTCGACGCTCTAAGCTGTTTAGCGGGACCCAGTATGTTGCGCCCCGCTACTCTAAAACACTTTATTAAAAACACGTTTTTTTTTTTTTTTTTTCTTTTTTTAAAAGGGGAGCTTTTTTCAACGATTCTTACCTCTGAGTACGGTAAAAGATTTATAAAAAAAAAAAAAAAAAAACTGAGGCTAAACCCCCGGAAAACATCCACAAAGATAGCGATGTGAAGGTGAGAAGATATATGATGCCTCAAAGGGGTCCTGTCCCCGTGGCCATATAAGGCTTAACCTCTATCGATCCGGTATGAACTCGCCATGCTCACACTTTTGGTAAGAGGGCGCCACCTTCCCTCGTCTCTTTATTCCGCCGACGCGATATTTCCATTTCCTGGGGCAACCCACCTTCCCTAAAGAGGGCGAGGAGGATGCCGGCGGAGGAGTTTATTCCTTAATCCCGCGCCGGCCGCCCGCCGCCGCCGGGATTAAGTCCTTAATCCCCCGCGCCTCGGCTCGAGCTGCCACGTTACGTCACATCGTGCGCCAATGGGATTAACCGCTCGCTTTTACCGTCGCTTTTATTCAGCTCGCACTCGTCACCGTTGTCTTTCTCTATGTTCCTTTGTCTTTCTTTTCCGTGCAACGAGATTTTTCCTGCTTCAGAGACGAATGCCATCACTATTTGTGTGGGTGCGTTCGGGAGTGTGTGTGTTTGCATGCGTGCGTCCGTACATGTGCGCGCGTGTGTGCACGTATGTATGCGCGCGGGCGTGTGTGTGTTTTATTGGCACTGACGTGCCCCGCGTTCCCATTTTCTCCTCTCCCTCAGTTGCTCACCGTATAGGCTGCAGCCTTTATATCAAAGCGACCGATGAGCATGATGCGCAAACTAGGAATTAGTGCGAGTTCATCACGTGGAACGCTCCACATCGTAGAGGCTTCGTGTCCTGTTTAAAGTCGA